CAACTGAGCCAGGCGCGTGCGCTTCGATAGGCTCATCCGTCCAGAATAGCAAGCCCAAGTCTGTAGCGGTGGACCAAAAGCTCTCGTTTTGTTCGGGCACGGGTTGCAGATATCGTGTGGTCGCCGCCTTTGTCTCCCATCGCGGCACAGGGTGCGTCTTGGCAAAGTCGAGGTAGCTGCCAATGACACTAGATGTGGAGCAGAGTATCAGGATGGCTTCGCGTATCGAGTGTATGGCAGGTGGCTGCCGTGCTTGATCCACCACCTGCTTCTCTTGCCTTTGCAATGCGTGCCGCAGAAAGAGGCAGCAATTGCGCACCTGCTCGTCCCAGCTGATGGGCAAATGCATGCTATCGGATAGCTCCTGCATCGTTGTCTGGGCATCGCCATGAGCTGGCATTGAAGCCTCGCTGCTCATCATTACCTCCCCGGCCCCCATCATCATGGGCGCCAAGGAGATGGTGGAAGGTCCAGCGACGACTTGTGCGTCGGAATCGTGCTGCATTCGACTCGAAGGGGCATCATGTGCCTCTTCGCATGCGAGCTTATTGAGCAGCCAAGCTTCGCGCACGTGTATCGCCTTTGCCTGAGCCTCTTCCACCTCGAGCCACTCGCGGCTCACTTCGACAGCTTGTGGCATCCTTCGATGCACCGTGTTAGCCCTTTGCCGCAAGCTATGATTGTCTTGCCCAGCGGTTCGTCGATGTTCCAGCAGACCTATGAGCAGGCAGATCTGCTGGATTGGCTTTCCCACGTCGTCTGCTATCAGGTCTGGTCTCTGCTTGGAGTGACGAGCCAGAGCGGGCCACAATCTCTCCAACTCTTCCAACGTCCAGGCAGACTCGTCGTTGGAAGAAGCGATGGACGAATCGGAGCGGGATGCATCCGAATCGCTGGATAGCTCAGACGAGTTGCCGCGACGACGTGCTCGTTTGCGTTTGCAGCGATACTTGTGCAGGTCGGAGCCGAAGTACTCGTACTGCTCGACTTGACGTGCAGAGACGATGCCTGGTCGTAGGTGTTGCATGAATTGGTCGCTCTCGTGCAACAGCAGACGAGCGTAACCATGCGTGAATCGCTGGTCATGGCGCGATGTGATCGGTCCTTGCAGCTCAGCCTCTCTGTCTCGCTTGCTCGCAGTCTGCGGTGTAGTCCGCTCCGCATCGACCGCCTGCTGCGCCTCGATCTCGCGCTCGACGACGGGTGAAGCCAAAGTGGAGGGCGTGAGAGCGTCGGAAGGGGATGTAGCTGAGCCGTTGGCGACGACGAAGCGCGCCGGAGTCGGATCCGGTGCTGCTGCAGAATGTTGCTCTGTCGGGCTCGCAGCAGCCTGAGCTGCAGTGTGAGGAAGGTCAAGAAAGTGAATGTGCGAATCGTGCTGAATAGGATAGTGTGGTGGATTGTAGGGCGCATATATGCCAGTGGAAGTGGAAGGAGAGTCGCCGCTGCCGGACGGAGCGGAAGGGTAGCTGGCAGGAAAGAAGACGGGAGCATGGGTCATCTGCTCTGCCCCTGCCTCTGCCTCTGCCTCCGCACCCGCACCTGCACCTGCCTCTACCCCTTGACTCGGCTGATGATGATGGGAGTAGTCAGCCTGGCCCGTGCTGCCCTGCTGCAAGGCAGCAGCTGAAGCAGGTGAGTGTGACTGGATGTGCTCATCGTCGATAACTCGCTGGCCCTGCATGATATGGTCGACTGCGTCATGGCGAGGTCAAGACCAGCGGGGCGCGCACTCCCGACGTTGTG